CTGGCTGGGCTTGCTGTGCCACCCCTGGGAACAACGGATGAGAGCCGTGACGAGGCGCCCGTGTCCCTGACCTCGACACCGAGGGCTTTGCCGCACGTGGCGCTGCCCCACGGGGATGTTCCCTTCGCCAGACCTTACGGGTTTTGGGGGAGGAGGGGGAAAACTTGAAGCCCGAAGCATTGAAAGTCCCTGAGGGCCTGTGGCGTGATCTCGTCACCCTCTTCCCCGGGCCTCGGAATGCGTAGGGATGGAGGTGACCGAGTCCTTTCTCCCTTCCAGGAGGAGAGGGAGAAGCGGCGGCTGGAGCAGCTGGAACGCAAGAAGGAGCTGCAGCGTCTGCTGGAGGAGGAAGACTCGAAGCTGAAAGGGAAGTCGCCCAAGCAGGTCACGCCCGGCAAAGTCACCAGGGCCCAGATCGAGGAGACAATCCGAAAGGAGCAGCAGCAGAAGGAGAATGCGGATACAGGTTTGGCGGCACCACAGAAAGGCCCCGGCAGCCACGGGGGGATGGGAGTGGGAATGCTTTTCCCATGGGCAGGGAGTGACAGGACAAGGGGTGATGGGTTTAAACGGAAAGAGGGAGATGGGACATCAGGAAGGAATTCTTCCCACAGAGGGTGGGAGCACTGGGACAGGTTCCCAGAGAAGCTGTGGATGCCCCATCCCTGGGAGTGTCCAAGGCCAGGCTGGATGAGGCTTGGAGCACCCTGGGCTATGGAAGGTGTCCCTGCCCATGGCAGGGGGTGGGACTGGGGGGGTTTAAGGTCCCTTCCCACCCAAACCATTCCACGACGGATAAGGAGGGCTGTTCCCTACCGTTGCTGAAGGGCAGGGTGTTTGGAAAGCCAGAGCATCCCCGTGCGCTTTGCGGTGTCCCTGACAAACACCCAAACGGGGGAAAAACGAAGCTCCTGTCGCCTTGAGGGGGAGAAGCGGAGCTGCAGAGCGGGCACTGCTCTGCCCGGGCTGGTCCCCAGCTCCGGCTGAGTTCCCTCAGCACTTCCTTGGGAGCGCTCTGGAACAGACCGTGCTGCTTCTGAGGGTCTGGATCTGACGTTAACAGCTCCCCCTTTCCCCCCACCCCGTGCAGCGGAGAAGGAGAAGACTCACTTGGAGGTCCCCTTGGAAGAGAACCTCAACAGAAGGGTGCTGGAGGAAGGGTCAGTGGAGGCCCGGACGATCGAGGACGCCATCGCCGTCCTCAGGTGCGTGACCGGAGCTCGACGCCGCGCGACTCACCCCGACCGCAAGACCAGGACGCGGCCCCTGCCCCGTCGTGCCCTGGAGCTGAAGTGGGCAGGGGGTGTGTCCGGGGGGATTTCTGCCTTATCT